TTTTAGTTTAGTAGGTTTAAAAATACAGAGAGACTCTCTCAAGTGAAATCATAACTTATTTATTATCCTCGCTTTATTCTAAGGCTTAAGCAAATCTAAATAATTTTTGTATTGACTTTACTTTTTTCCATTCTGTATAACTTCAATTAAGCAAACATTTTTTTTTTTTTTTTTTTTTGTTGGAATTTAATTGTAAACTTCTTATTCTTTAAAGAATTGTAAAAAAAACTTTTACAACAAAAATAGCTAACAGAGGTTGGGAGCTTAAAAGCTCCATATTCATAATACAAATTCTTAACTGCTATGTTACTTGAAATTAAGTTTATGAGATTGTACTCTTCATTACAAGCTTCTGAAGCTTTCATGCCTGAGAGCTTTTAAACTTAAAAGTTAAAATTACTTAGAAAGCGTAAAGTATCAAGCAATATTATGTACTCAGCTTCCTTATACAATGTTCACAAGATTCTTATCGAACCAAAAAAGCTAAAAGCTTTAAGCTACTTCTAGCGTAGCTTACATTACTTGAAATTTTAGTGAAAGCCCCAAAGCTTTTTACAATTATTGTAATTACTAAAATGAAACTTCAAAATGGGTTCAAATTTATAAAACATTTTCTATTACGAGGCTAAGAAGCAGATGTCATAAAAGCAAATATATTTTTAGTGAAAGCTTCAAAGCGTTTTACCATTATGGGCATAATTACAATGAAACTCAAACTGAGAGCTTTTTATATAAATCCAAAATAACTATCAATATTTATTGAACTAAAAATATCGCTCAATACTTTTTTCCTAAATTTATGTAGCGCGTGCAGCTATTTCTGACGAAATATTAGTTCCGCCGCAGGCAAAGTATAAACCATTGCCAAAAATGATTTTACCCAGAATTTGCATAACATGCCAAATTGGTGCAAAGTCAAAAAAATGTAGATTGCTTTGGTACATTTAAAAAAGAAAAACACTTTAATAGCCTGTCAATGAGCGCTCAAACAAGCGCAGTTACACATACAATTATACACAAAAGTATCTAAATATATACAGACATATATCTCTCTTATTTAAACTGAATACATTGTAGAAATCATTTCGCAAATCTTATAACCGCGCAGCTGAAAAATATTATTTCATTTCCTTTTTTTGAAATTCTGGTGCAAAAACATTTGTATTGATTAAGATCAGTGACGCTGGTGCACGGCAATGATCAATAGCCGGAAATTCTAATTGCAAGCAGATATAACCTTAAAATACATGCAAGCGGACATATATAATAGGCACGAATTCCGTCAACCAGTTCCATAATTATTTTCTATTTTTCACGCGAAATTAAATTTCCACTAATGGCAGAAGAGCTTAAGAATTGATATACAAGTTTTTACAAAAACAAATATTTTCTGCTCCATCGCTCATATCTCATGACATTCACGTGGCACCGCCGCAATGCCACCGCTTTAACTCTTTATGCTACCACCGGTACGACTTACTTCGAATTCACTAGCTTTTAGCGCCTAACCTGCGAAAACGAGTACTAACGGTGTATGACAATCGCTAATTGAATGGCGAGTCAGCAGAAATTTTCAGATACAAATGTAAATCAAATAACTAATTAGCGTATGGTGGCGAAGTACCACAAGGCAAAGCAATTGCATTGAAAATTTATAATAGTAATGGAGTGAAGTAATGAAAAAGTAATATTGTACTAGAGATGTACTAAAAAACGATTTTCGAACGCTACAGAGTGATTTTCTTATAAATGAGTGATTTGCTAAATTCTTCGCTTGCAAATTTTTGAATATTTGGAACACTTTTCATATTTTTAGTACATTTTTTAGTACACTTTTAGAACACTTTCTTTGTTTTTGGTACACTTTTTAAATTTTGTTTTAGTATTTTAATTGCAATGTTAGTACTTTTAGTACACTTTAGTAGTTTGGGTTCACTTTTAGGATTTTTAGCACAGTTTTAGAACTTTTAGTATGCTTTTAGTACTTTTAGTACACATTTTCTTAATTTTTTTATAGTATTTTTAGAACTTTTAGTATATCTTTAGCCCTTTTATTACACTTTTAGGAAATTTTTAATACACTTAGTACCCTATTTTCATTAAATTTTTGCATTTTTAGTACACTGTTAGTACTTTTAGTACACTCTTGGAATTTTTAGTACATTTTGAGAAATTTTAGTACACTTGCACATAATATTTTGAGTTCAATTTCATTCGATTATATTTCAGTATTTTTAGTACATTGTTAGTACTTTTAGTACACCTTCAGAACTTTTATTACACTTTTATTGTGTTTAGTACACTGTTTTAATTCAATTTTTGTATATTTTGTACATCGTTAGTATATTTTATTAATTTCTGTGAACTTTTAAAACTTTTAGTTTATTTTTAGAACCTTTAGTACACTTTTAGCATTTTTAGAGCACTTCAAGAACACACAATGTTTCTAGTACACTTTTGTTCAATTTTATTTCAGTATTTTTAACACATTGGTCGAACTTTTAGTACACTTAAATATTTTTAGTACAATTTAGCACAATTCAAAAAATTTTGTTTACTACTAGAACATTTACAGTTATATTATTTTAGGACTTTTGTTACTCTTTTCCTCTTTTAGTATAGTTTTAGTAAAATTTTAGACTTATTTCTTGTTTAGTTCTAAGTAATTGAACATAAAACAATGTTAAACAATTTCGTACTCTAAAAAAATAGTTACAATGATATTTGAGAAACAAAAGTCAGTAGTGAGGAGACTTCAGTTTAGTACACTCTCTTTAAATATCAAACATTTATGTATGTTCATAAGTGTCAAAAAATCGCAAAATTCAGAGTTTTTATCTGTACAGATAAAAAATTATTATTAATTACAACCTACAAGTAAATTTTAATTAATTATTTAACCTTTCAATAAAATCCATAAACCTGCATTCTTACCTAAACTAACCTACAAATATCCCTTTGATTTTTTTTAGGATGTTTCTCAACAAGATACTTTGTCACTTTCATGCTCTTTCTGGGCATGGCCAATGCCTATGTGATGCGTACGAATATGTCCGTAGCCATTGTGGCGATGGTAAATCACACCGCCATCGCAGCTGATCAAGAGGATTTTTTTGACGATGAGTGCCCAGATCAAAATCTAACAGTTGTGGTAAGTAAATCAGACGCTTCATGGCTCAACAATCCCCTTGGAAAATCTACAAATGAGAAGCATACGATATTTAATAATTATTTTCTCTAAATCTTTAGGAAAATGGACAAGACGGCGACTTTGTATGGAGCTCCAGTTTACAGGGCTACATATTATCTTCGTTCTTTTACGGCTATGTGCTGACGCAAGTAAGTAGCCAATAATAATTATTAAAACTAACAAAAAGTTCATTGAAAAAATCACATTTTCCACTAAACAAAAATATAGTAACACTAAACTCATTATAAACACTTTCTTCGCATTCTTTCGTCCACAGATTCCTTTCGGTATTTTAGCGAAAAAATACGGTGCCATGAATTTCCTTGGCTGGGGTATGCTTGTCAATTCCGTATTCGCCTTCCTTGTGCCCGTTGCCGCTTACGAAGGCGGCGTCTATGGTCTCTGCGCCGTACGCTTCATACAAGGTCTCGGCGAAGGTCCAATTGTGCCATGCACACACGCGCTGCTCGCCAAATGGATACCACCCAATGAGCGCTCACGTATGGGTGCGGCGGTATATGCGGGCGCACAATTCGGCACAATCATCTCTATGCCATTGTCCGGTTTGTTGGCCGAGTATGGTTTCTCTGGCGGTTGGCCATCGATTTTCTATGTTTTCGGCGCTGTTGGTACGATTTGGTCGATAGCTTTCTTGTGGTTCGTCTATGAGGATCCTTCATCGCATCCACGTATCGATGAGGCGGAGAAGAAGTACATCAACACTAGTCTGTGGGGTACTGGCGATCAGAAGGTAGGTGTCTATTAAAGTCTATTATAGCAGTTAGTTAGTATAGTGAGTTAGACCCTAAAGCTTAGTTGTGTTACAAATACGAAGTTTACAGGAGTGTCTAAAGTGTAATTTTAATAAACTTTTCTCGATTTTTCCACTCTTTATAGGTGCCAGCAATTCCATTCAAGTCCATCTTAAAGTGCCTGCCTTTCTACGCCATTTTGTTGGCGCATATGGGTCACAACTACGGTTACGAGACACTAATGACTGAATTGCCTACCTACATGAAACAAGTGCTGCGCTTCTCTCTGAAAGCCAACGGCTTGCTCTCATCCCTACCTTATTTGGCTATGTGGCTCTTCTCAATGTTCATTTCGGTAATTGCCGATTGGATGATCTCATCAAATCGCTTTACACACACAGCAACACGCAAAATTATCAACAGTATTGGTAAGTAAATGAGCGACGAAGAGAAATAAATTAATTTTTATTAATTATTTGTACTCTCATGCGCGTTAAATAGGTCAATATGGTCCAGGTTTGGCCCTTATTGCCGCCTCGTACACAGGCTGTGATCGTGCCTTGACACTTGCCATACTCACGGTAGGTGTGGGTCTCAACGGTGGTATCTACTCTGGCTTCAAAATCAATCACTTGGATCTGTCGCCACGTTTTGCCGGTTTCCTGATGGCCATCACCAATTGTTCGGCGAACTTGGCGGGTCTGTTGGCGCCCATTGCCGCTGGAAACTTAATCAACAATAAGGTAAGATTTGATCATTAGACATTTATTGTTTGTGAGCATGAAGTTATAAATCCCTTCCCCTCTCTTTTTCCGTCTCTTTTTCTCTCTCTCTCTCTCTATTTCTAACTCTCCAGCCTACCATGGGTCAATGGCAGATCGTGTTCTTCATCGCCGCTTTCGTGTATATCTTCTGCGCTACCTTCTACAACATCTTCGGTTCCGGTGAACGCCAATGGTGGGACAATCCAGCCACCGATGTTAAGGAACCATCCGCCATTGCACCAGGCACAACCACACTGACCTCGAATGGCGCGAATCCACGTTTTCTCACCGGCGTTGATAATGGCCTGACCTTGGCGGCGGGGAATATCAACGAAACGGGTCACTGAGTGCGTGGAACACACGTCCAAGGCTAGACAGTTGCAACTGAGCGCTGATCTAGTATAGTGGGTTGTGTTTTTTAGTTATTCGAAGCTGTAGTTTCGCTGTTAGTGCTAGTTAGACAACAAACAGACAGACAGTTAGTTATTTAAGCAGTCTAATTTTTATTATCTTTAGTAAATATTAAGGCATAGTGAATTTAAGTGCGTGAGAAATGTGTGTGGCTTAGAGAAAAAAAATAAATAGATAAATAAAATAAAATGTACCGTAAGTAAGAGAAGATAAAAGTAGTGTGATAACGGTACTCAGCGTGCAAAATAATAATTATATTAAAAAAACATGAGTCAGCATTAATGAGTAACGGACAATTTTTCATGCTCAGCTCTCAGCCGAGTTTGAATGAAAACTTGATGGATAAAAGACAGTTGCCGCTAAAACTATGCAACGCATCTAAAGTATATAATACGCCAATGGTGCCAACTTAGTGATTTTCTTCTTTAATGTTTTGCTTTTAGAAAGTGTAAATGTAAAGTTTTTATGGACTTCGTCCGTGAATTGTTAATTTATTTAAAGTTAAGTTTAAAGAGTAATTTATAAAAAAAAAACATTTAATTTATATACATAAATATATATATACACACACATGTATGAATGTACGCACTGTAAGCGCTTTTTAATGTATTTGTGAATTGATTTTATAAAGAAAATATTATTTTTTGTTTTAAAAAAAAGTAGTGAAAGTAAAACCGAACAATGCCTTTAACACACAGATGTCTAAATGTAACGATTTTCGTCTAGAATTGTAGCAATCATACATATACAAAATTATAAACACACTTACATACATTTTTACTACTAAAATTAATTATTTTATACATTTGTTATAAAGTTGTTGCGTGAGGAATTGTGTTAAGGCGTAGGCTAAGCGGACAAATGCGAAACAAGCCAACAAACAGTATAAGTGACAATCTAATTTGTAAGACGAAATGCTAAAAAAAATATTTCCATTTGTTACAATATTACAATATTCAAGACATGCAATTTCCAAAAATGTTTTACAACTACGAGAATGTTTAGAAAAACGTAAGAAATTTACTTCACAATAAAATAAATTCTTCTTTACTGGCGTAAAAACCGTTCACGCGCTCATAGCCGCCAAAATAAAATAAATTAAAACAAAAAAAAAAGACTCGAAGAGAGTTTAAAACACCAAACAAATTGCTTTTTATTTGAAAGTTTTAGCATAAAACATGTTTTAGAAAACCCTTAACCCAGTCTGGAGATAGCAGAACTGAAGGCGGAGTTGTTGAGGCCAATGATRTTAATACCATCGGCGTGCGCCAATAGCTGTACACTCTTATCGTAGATGGTACATATCTTCCGTATTTAGTACTGCAGCACGAATTATTTTCTCCAAGAGTAGATTGAAGAAGTCGCACGAAAGGAAGTCGCCTTGTCTGAAATCTCGTTCGATATCGACTGGCTAGGAGAGGTTCCTCCCGATTCTGACGGAGCATTTGGTATTACCCAACGTCAGTTTACACACCTGTATTAGTTTTGCGGAGATACTAAATTCGGATAAAGGTAGCATTTTTTCGGGCTGTCAAAAGCAGCTTTGAAATTGACAAAGTGGTGGTGTGGCTCGATCCTCTTTTTACGAGTCTTTTCCAAGATTTGACGTATGATAAATATCTGGTCGAAGCTATGATACCTTATCTCAAAAACTGAGGGACTGATCATTTATATATACTTTCCAAGATCTTTGACGTTTTCTTTTGGATATTACAAACTTCTTGGCGAACTAAATATACCCTGTTCAGTGTATAATTATTGTATGGTCAAGGTAACCATGTCCTTGGATACCATATTTTAGCATAACGCTCAATCGCATCAGTTTGTTGGTAAGAACCGATGTGTCACTAACTTTGCTCCTCTTGTCCTCACAAAGTATGTGTTATATATCAGTAAGAAGTAGAAAGTGTTATGCTTATTTATGTACCAATCACTTTATATACATATGTATGTATTTTATATACATCGCACTGCGTCAAAGAATGTCCTTATAAGGGTTCCAGACAGCAAAGCAATTCCAGAAAACAGCATAGCTGATGAGATTGTCAAAAAAGACAGCCGACTGGCTACCGCACCAGACAGAGAATACAGAAACGATATATAATGAAGTTGCCTAAATGACTTGCATGTAGAACAAGATTATATGTAATGCCTTGAGGACATGCAGGATCATCAATATCATGTGCAATAACAACACGCTTTCGGTAAGTATGTATGGGAGAGACGCTGAAACACCTCCAACGTTTTTGTCCAGCCTTTCAGCTCCAGGTACTACATAAAGTACGAAAATTAGATTGAAGTCCTCTTAAAGTACGCAAAAAGCATTGACATCCTTTATGACGGATACAGTTCGAAACAAGGACGGAACGGTGATTCCACCAGACCAAAAACCACACCAAACTGCCAATTGAGGTGAATGTAATGATTGTTCATCAATAATTTGTGGATTTTTTTTTTCGCACCAGAATCGATAACCACTATCTGCGGAAACACTATTTATATAAATAAACGTGTAAGATAATATAGTAGATTACTTCTATTAAATTCCACATTCTGGAGGCCTGTCTGTTGCCTTCAAATGGCGCTGTTACTTCCTAGCTGAAGGTCAAGCGTATTATTTAGTATTATTTATAGCCACATTTAATGCAATTTGTGAATTATTTTTCGAGGTTTCAATTCGATTTTGTAGGGAAGTTCAATGAACTGGCTTGTCCAGACCGGCGAGCGCTTCTTCTTCATTTGTTTACTTTACATTTTTMTCTTTTGTTTCTATTTTTATGCGACAGCATTTTAATTTATACAAAACATCCGTACTGCCTGTCACTCGTGATCTCAAAGCAGATACCCCAATTAATGTTTTACTTGTTCGAGAACATTCACTATTTACTTGAGTACACAGCCATTGAAATGCACGTGCCATTGTCCATAGAAGCTTCAACGTATTTGCTGTTGTCAGCTGAATTTCAGCGGCTTATTGAATTTCACAAAACCCTTACGTAAAACATATTATTTATGGTAAGTAGCACTAAGCTTGATATTTTTTTCCTGTTCAGAATAATTTATTTGTATATACTCGTGTGGAAATGCGAAAGTCAGCAAGCGAACGCAAATAAACAAGAGATTCTTTGTTGCTGACCAAGTGATTTTAAATAAATAAGTCATGTATGTATATGAATACCTTGCTCTAATTTACTCGCTTCCTTTTTAAGTATATTTTAAATTAGTTTCGGAAATAATTAAAAAATTATATTTGACTGCCGAAACCCGGGATTGAACCGGGGACCTTTAGATCTTCAGTCTAACGCTCTCCCAACTGAGCTATTTCGGCAGATATCTACTTTGAGTTGAATGTCGTTTAAGTGAGCGCAACGCACGCAACTAAGGTGACATTAGCGCTACATTAAACTTTGTGTTTGTGGTTTGGAACTTTGCTAAGTTTTCAGGAAAGCTTTTGAAAGCACCACGAATACTAAATATAAAAATTTTAGATTGCAGTGTGTGATATATTTGTAYATGTATGCACATATGTATATTTATATACATATTTATATGTGTATATGGATGTAGATATGTGTGCTCGATTTCTATGGGCAGAAATGATAGTGCCTAAAAGCATGCTCATATATCAAGGTATCGTAGATACAAATATGTAAGCGAATTAGACATGTATTAACACGCCCTCTTTCTTATCGTCGGAAAAATATATGTTCTTTAGGCAATTGATGCGATTTTAATTGAATGTAAAACGTTTCAATTGAATATTAGTATGTTTTATTGATACAGAGATATATTAGCTTGCTTTAGTAGCTAGCGCACAGCACATTTGCAGCTTGTTAGTTGGCTAGAGAGCAGACTTACAACAACAACGCACATAAAGGAATAAAGGACAATATATGGAAGTAAGAATTTTGAAAATATTTTGAAAAGAATAAAAGAAAA